AAAAATACCAAGCTTCATTTCAACAATTTCAAGATAAATGAAAATGATAATTTAAATGTTGGACAAAAGCGATGATCCTTCTGCAGCGCATGACATTTTTTGCGTTCTTCCTGTCCACCGACGAGAATAGAGAAAAGGCAGCAAAAGAAGTGTTCGACACACTCAAAATCATTCAAGACCAGTCTCTGGGAGAGAAGAAATTCTTCGGTGGTGAAAAAATTAGAGTGGTGGACTTGAATTTCAGGTGGCTCGTCCACTGGTTTGAACTAATGCAAGAATTCGTGGGCTTGCGCGTTTTCGAACCAACCACTCTGCCCAAATTGCATCGGTGGACCATAGATTTCAAACAAGAACCTGTGATCAAGGAAAATCTTCCAGACAACAATGCATTGCTGACACACTTCGGAAAGTTCAAGAAGGAACTCACATCACCAAAGAACGACTAAACGAGAATCTTAAACACACATACTTTCTAAGTTTTTTTTTGTTTTCCAATTTGGGTTCGAATAAAATAGTATGATACATCAACCACTGTTATTGTATGCTTTGACATTATCAGCATATGGAGATAATATGAATTCTCACGAAAGCTGTATTTACAATGACTTCACATTTACTATCTTCTGCTGCTGCTTATTTTGTATTGTTCTATGGGTGGTTTCGGTTCTACGCGCGACAAGAACTATCAGAACCTCATAGATTCATGTCAAGGCGTCTCGTCAAATGCCATCACCTGCAAACCAAAACAAAAGCAAAATTTGAAAAAAAATAATAATAATAAAACATAAAACAAACAAAAAAAATTATCATTGAATGGTAATAAATGACTGTGTAGACATAAATTTATATAAAATGTACATGAAAAGAGTATATCCTACCCATTTAATAAAAAGATGAGGTATATATAAAGTTAATCTTCACATAAAATCTAACATATATTAATGCATAGGAAATGATCAGAAGAGTTACCTTGCCACAGACTGGGCAGTTGTCACTTCTTTCCATCCACTCATATATACAACCAAGATGGAAATGGTGAGAACATTTTGTATTTATTTTTGGGTCCTCCGTGGTATATTCTGCATGATGAAAAATTGCGTGAGGTGTAAAACTAAAACGTGTGAACGGTTATCAGTAATTTACTCGAGCAAGAAAAAAGTGAATGTTTTAAGAAACACATCTAGTCCTTCAAAATGCCTCAGAATAAAATGCTACTTTCTCCCTCGATGACAAAACACGTTTCACAAGGTTCGAATCAGATCAGTTATTGATTAAAATTTGGCCGGATAATTGCATAAACTACCCTCATGTTCGGGATAATAACATTCACCAAAAAGTCTGGAGTTTGAGAGTTCATAAGACGCCCTTAAAGTTATATTCTTTCTTATACTTTCAAAAACCATTAAACTATGTAAGAATCATATTATAAATAAGATTGAATCCAACTATGTGTATTTAGTTATAATAATACTAACATGACCAACTAAAAACACTGCGGGTAAAGCATCAAACTTCAAAAGCTGTGTTATACTAATATTCGATGCAATCAGGTTTGAGTAGAAGAAAATTTAGTCATAACTAACACACACGAGAGTAATAGCCAAAAAAAGTGCGAAAATATAAAATTTGAACAACTTAATCGATTTCATTACAACAGTCAGTATATACCATATGCAAGAAATGCTGAATGAAGCAGCGGAGGCATATGCAGTTCCGATAAACCGAGCTGTTTGGATTAGCAAAATCTTCACATTCATCCCTCAATCAGCAACAAGTAGAGCCCATCGTCACCAATCGAGGCCCACTATTAAGTTCAATCTAAAAAATATCACCAAAACCCATTCATATGAAGAAACATTTGAAGATCGAATACCAAATCATGGTAGCAACTTAAATGCAATGAGAGAGGATCCCAAGACGAGCACCCTCTCCCTAACAATAATCAAGACCCAAATGCCTTTTTCTTGTGGTGGGCAACGTTAAGAAATATCTACAAACCTGCGAGAAATATATAACGTCACTCAATTGATTCAAGTAACGATGGAAATTAATAAATTGCAACTTTGTAGGTAAATGAGCTTCGGTAAAAAAGACAGCACTTCACAGAGTTGCAGCTTAAGCCATCACCAAATCCCCAATTCAAAAACAAAAAAATCACAACCAGTAATGAAACAGTACAACTCTTTCATATTCTTCAACATCAAGCAACTGGTATTAGCCTAATTTCTTGAAAGAACATTCACGATTGAATTGAATTCTCAGAAACCCAGAACAAGATTCAGTTTTTCGTCCGACAGAGAGAGTCCATCACCAGATTAAGTGACTGTTGCTAACTCCAACTCAGCAATTGGGAGAAACGTGATGTGTAATGATAGAACCAGTTCAACTGCAAATTTTTCACCAAAACCCATTCACCAAAAAAGTGCAAGAAACTTAAAGATCAAATTCCAAATCCTGCAAATTAATTGCAATGAGAGAGGATCCCTAGACCAGCACCCTCTCCCTAACAATAAACAAAATCCTGATGTCTTTTCTTGTGGTGAGCAAACCTGCGAGAACAAATTGAGCTAGCATGATGAGAATGGAGAAATAAAACGTCACTCAAATGATTTACAAAATGATGGAAATTAATAAATTGCAAGTTTACAGCTAAACGAGCTCAGACGAAAAAAAGACAACACTTCACAGAGGACATCATAAATTCCTCAGTTCGAAAACAGAAAATTACAACCAGTAAAGGAAAAAGTACAACTCT